CTCCACTATTAACCTACTTACATGTATCTAAATATATTTTTACTTCATTTCAGTAGTATTTACTTTTATTGTGTAGGCAACAATGAGTCGTCAGACAAGACATGCGTAAGACAATCCATCCATCAAATGCAAATATCTGAAAAATCGTTCATCATCATTTAATAAGTCTTTATAAACGTATAATAGTTGGCAGCCACGGCTTCTTCGGCGCTTGAAAAAAACTTGCCATTTATTTTTTCTTTGTGTCTTGGGAACAAAAAGAAATCACAAGGAGCTATCAGGCCTCTAGGGTGGGTGACTTATAGTTTCAACACCAGATTCCTCAATAAATGTTTTTGTTCTAAGGGAGGTATGTGAAGAGGCTTTGTCGTGATGCAGCATGATTCCCCGAAGCCCAGTCTTTGGTCTTCTCTCCCGCACAGCTTGAAAAGCTTTGGGTAATGCAACTGTAGTATACTATTCAGAGTTAACTAACCCTACAGTTTTCCAGCATTGCCTTCGACAAATAACCACTCCGCGAAAAAAAACTAGCCACCATTTTTTTTTGCCGACGTTGCGAGGTCTTAGTAGTTTTATTGGTAACTGTCCTTCTGAGTAGACCCATACCGATGATTGCCTTTTATTTTCCGGATCATATTGATAAATCCATGTCTCGTCACCAGTAACGATTTCTGAAACACGCCTAGATGCCCCGTTTTTAAAAACGTAGACCCATTTCATGGCACCGATCGACACGAGTCTGTTTTTCGCTTTCGGAAAGCAAACGAAAGATTTTGGGTCTTCTCGCATCAACATTTCGATAGTCCATACATTTTCTGCCGTTACTGCTGTTTGCGGGGCCCCGGTTCTTTGGTCATCTTTATGATTAATTTAACTCCTTTTGAATTCAGCAAACCACCTAAAAATTGTTGCGCGTGATGGAGCTGAGTCCCCTAATGCTGATTGTAACCGTTGTAAACTTAATTGTTCGGTTAAACCAAATTTAAAATCATAATATATCATAGCGCGCAACCGTTCACGGTTAAGATCCATTGTTTTAAATGAAAAGCGCGGGAAGCGTTGCTGGAAAATTAATAGAACTCAGATTTTTTTAATATTGAGCAATTAGCTTATGGAGTTCTATTTTTAAATAAATTTGCTTTTTAGAAACATATAACACGGGTGCGTTCCATTTTTAAATTTCGTGCATCTTAAAACTTGTTGACCTACATATAATTTCTTCGTACGGGATGCAACACGGTGTTAGTGTGAAATTCATGCCTTTCGATAGTACTTTTACTGCCGTTTCGTCTAGTGTTTGAGAGACTGTAGACCGTGTGTTGCTTATATTCTTTATTCGTTAGCTTTTCTAAATGATTTAGACAGCCAAAATTCTGATAACACTTGCACTGTATATAAGAAAAAGATTCATACTCGGTGGGTATGAATCTTTTTACATGTTTAAATGGTGAATCTCAGCACAAGAGATCTGTGGCAGAAAATATCTGACCGCTGAGCTTCAGCACGTCAAGCACGTATTACAAGACAACAAGCTTCGGGTTCTGCGCCTACGTCAAAATGACCGAGGGAAGCCGGTAGCGATAGCCACCGTTAGAACAAGCGCCCGTTTTTTACACTTATTTCTTACTATGGCAGTTGCGGCAACCTGGTGAGAACTTGACAGCAATTTGATTACATTTAATTAACTGGTTTGAGTAAATTTTGACAAGTAAAAATTGTGCGATTTAGTGTTTTATTAAATGTTTGCGCATGTGAATTACGTAACAGTTGCTTCAATGAAGATACAAAGTTTTAAGTTTTTTATCTGCTTAGGCCTGTTCAGTTACAGAGGCTTGCTGCGTTAAACTGTCGACAAAATCTTTCAATAACTGCAATGTGACGTATTAGCATAATATAGTAAAAATTTAGTTAACAAAATACAAATTAGACTATGCTGTCTGGTCTTCTACCTTTGCTTGGAATAATTTTCGAATCATAACAACAATATTATCTATGATGTGCGTGCTATTAGCTAAGGCCGGCAACATACATACGGAAACCCGTTTCGGGAAACCGTTTCGATATTCCGATTCGGGATTTCGAACGCAGCAAGACCATATAAAATTAAGGACCCATCACACACGAATGGTAATTTTCCGTACGGAATTTTTTCCGATTTTAGATTGCACATGACCACCTGTGCGTTCGGAATCCTGAACGGAAAAAAGCCGCTCCGAACGCAAGTCTTCCATAGATTTTGTATGAGTCGCTACACACATTCGTAAATTCCGTACGGAACGCGCTCAATGTTCGTCGCACGACCGAAGCATATATGTGCATAGCTTTTCGTAACCTTTCATATTTTTTAGTGTAATAATTCATCAAAAGAGCTTACTGACAAAATATATCACTCGGTAGATAGATCTTTTTACATAATATTGCCTATATTGCAAGCTTATGGTGATAAGGGGATGCAACCAGTAACAATGACATAGCAACACTGGAACCGCAATCAGAAAATCGTCGTCATTATTCACTTGCTGAATGTCTAGACTCAGTGGCTAGCGTCTCTCAACTGTGCCTTCTTATTCCGAACAGAAATAAATGTATGTGTGTGATGTATTTACGGAATTCCGATTCGGAATTCTGAAACGGAATTACGAAACGGAATTCCGTATGTATATGGCCGGCCTAAATTGCTAAAACCATAGATTACTGTATATAGTTAAAACCATTGATAAATAGATATGTAGGAAGGCTAAAACGAAGAGAATAACAGTGATGCCAATTTAAGAGCGGCCAACCCGTGTAACTTTTCATACAAACGCTTGTTTATCATTATGGCGTTGTAATAGATCTTTATTTTAAAATTTTGAACTAATAGGTATCTTGTACACTATATCTAGGTTCCTATCTAAAAAAAAAATCTAAATTTGGAGAAACAAATTTAGTATAAGCGTCCAAAAATCTGCTTTTTTGCACAAATTTTACCTGAATTTTGGTCGTTCATAATGTACTCATTAATTGTAAAAGTAAAGAAAATATTTTATAAAAACCTCGCGAATGTAATGGAGATTGACTAAATGACAAAAATTTATTACAAAAGCTTGTGGCTTACTGAAAAACTTGTATTTCCTGGAACAAGTTTTATGAAATTTCCGCACACTATTTTTCGTTCAATATTATCGCGTTCTCACTTGCTTATTAGCCAAGTGGCGGTAAGAGGTATGCGGGGGACAAGTCTTGCGGGGTATGGGGCGGGGTGAGACGGGGGAGTTGAATAACGAGCGCCGCTGGCGTACGTATTCGGCTCTCAGGCCTCTCGGAATTGTTAGTAGGCATTCAATTTGTTGACTGCGCTACGTCAATGTGCCGTTGCATTTTATTTTTAGTGACATCTGTTTTACCTACTACAACAATCTTATTTTTTTATACCGGACACTGATTTTGCTAGCGAAAGGTTTAGCTATTTTATAACGTGAAACAAAACTGGCATTTGTGAATACGGACACCGACTTTGTTTGGATAAGGATTTTGAAGGAGATCGATTTTATTACTATTGAGAAGAACTAAAAAGTTGTTTTTAAAATGGGTAAGTAGATTTTTTTACATAATTATACAAGAGCTAAAGTAGGTAGCTAAATGTACTGTGAAAAATATCCAACCAATTTTTATTGATCACATTATGTTGATAGTATGTACTACTACAACTAAATTTTATACGTGATAGAGCAATGCTACATCTATATTAGTGGTTTAGTTGTAGCACAAATGGGTCGGCTCGACCGGGGAAGGACTGCGCTCTTACAGAATACCAGCGTAAAATAGCAACTGAACGCCGCTGTGTTTCGTATGGTGAGTGTAGAGAACCGGAGACCCTTTTTACTGGAAACGAGGCATTCCATCTTAGTTCTTACGGGTGACAACGCATCTGCATTTTGATCCATAATCGAGGATAGATGTAGATGTTTATGGGCCACAGTAACCACTTATCATCAGGTGGACGGTGTGCTCGTTTGCACATAAAAAACCTACCTATGTACATAGGTATATAAGTACTTACCTAATAATTACTTATCAAGTTATAGCCAATGTCGGACAGACACATTTTTTCAAACAACAACATAAAGCGATGTTATACCTACTGAACTTTACAGATAACACTCAGCCAGATCCCCGAAAAGGTAATAAAAAGCGTTTACGTCTTTCGGCTCGAAGGAAAAAAAGGAAGGGACCCACAAAACGAAAAGAAAATCAAGCGTAAGAATTTATTTACTCTAACAAGGGGGCATTTCCTACTTATCATCACCGATTTCGCTCAAATTTATAGGATATGCAGGGTTTGACTAGAAATGAAAGTACCCAAAGTGGAAACTCCAGATGGCAAAGCGTTTACAAAATAAAAATGTTTCGCACCGTATAACCCACTTACGTTAGTGCGTATGCCGACCACGAGTTGGCGTCGGTAAGAACTCGGACTAGAAATTCAATGATCATGGGTTCGACTCCCTGTGTGTAGTTTTTTTTTCTTTTTTTCTTAATTTTTATATTATTAATTTTCCAAGCAAATAATTGAATATTTTATTTTATTTATTTATTTATATGCAAAAGGACAAGCATATAGAACGCCATTTATTATTTCCTAAACGATTGACCATCTGGAGTTTCCACTTCGGGTACCTACTTTCGTTTCTAGCCAAACCCTGCATATCCTATAAATTTGAGCGAAATTGGTGATGACGAGTAGCGAATGTCCCCTGTAAGTACTTTTCTATTCTATTTACCGAATTCAAAAAAGGAGGAGGTTTTCGATTCGTCGGAATCTTTTTTTATATATGTTCACCGATTACTCGACGACGCCTGAACCGATTTGAAAAAATATTTTTTGTTTCAAAGGCTATATTTCCCTGGTAGTCCCATTTAAATTTTATTGAAAACCGTTGAGCGGTTTTTAAAGGATCATCAATAAATGTTTTATATTGAAGTTTATCAAATTTATTGATTGTTGAAAACGGGACGCAGGACTTTAGTTTCAGCACAGTATAAATATGTCACGGTATTTATATCTACATAGAAAACGGCCAAAATGAAAAAAGGGGTCATTGTACTCATATTAATGAGCTTTTTAACTTTTACTATGAATAAGTATTAGATCAAACATGAAATCGCGAAAAAAATACTTAGTATTGAGTACATTTTATCGAGTTCTGTGAAAATACCTACGTTATAAACATATGTTAGAACAACTGATTTTTTTTTCGCGATTTCAAGGTTGGTCCCATAGTAAAAGATGTTCATATATATATTCGTAAAATGAGGCTTTTTCGTATTTAGGGTAAATAAATATATTAGGTAAAAATACTACTAATGATGTAAAACTACGAGAAAAAATGTTGAAAATTTTCGTACCAATTTCAAATTGAGCTCTACAAAACAACAAATGAAATATTCCCTTATAAGAAATAATACGACAACAATTTCATGTATAAATTACCACTAACACTAGATTAGGATACAACTCTTATTCATTTATTACTTAGGCAATGAACATAGGAATAAAGATTTATTTTATTTTCCAGGTTTATAAATGAAAACAAAGAAAACATTGACAATGATGATGTATCACGGCTTAGGTAAGGCGGAATGCAAAGTGGATTATATGTACCTTAGTTTATGATTATTACGGTGACTGATACAGTGACAATCTACCTAATATGATTCATTTTACAGAGCTAGCACACATGTTGAACTCTTAGAAGACGTAGAAGAAGTTCTTGTGGACGATGATATATCTTGTGTAATGCTTGATGTACAAGCAATTGTACATAACGAACAAGGAGTAAAATGTCATACTAGGTACAGTCGGTAACAATAATTATTACTCTACCTATTTCATATAACATATATTATGCACAAAACAAAGTTATTTGTATTTTTTATAAAGAATATAAAGATTTATTTATTGTTTTAGGCTTACTCAGGATAGGGCACCACTTCAAGAGGTTACAGTAACAAATGAAGCACAGAACAAGGTTTTTGATGAAAATGAGATCGTGGAATTTGACCAATATAATGATAATATTGATCGCAGTCTACCATTGTTATCAAGGTGAGTGATTTTTTCACTACTGCGAGATATAAAATGTAAATGAATAAAAATAAAAATAGACATATCACGGTTTGCTATTTGTTCTTCAACTAAAACTGTTTATTTTTTGTAGGCAACATCTTCTACAAAATAGAGATAAAGAACTAGCTGAAGAAGAAATCAACTATTCGACCAACTGGAGCACACCATCTTTATCAGACAACGAGTTATTTGTTACAAAAGAACAAGAAATGATCAATGAAACACCTTCATTAGAGGGGAATCGATTAGTCGACATCGGCTATATTTTTAGTCAGCTTGCAACCATGTCGCATCATCCATTTGACTGTAATTTCACCTCTATGGATTTTATAAAAGAAAAAAGGGTAGGGTTCATGTCGAGCTTTCACTTTGTATGTAAAATGTGCAAGATAGAAAAAATAATACTTTCTCAAGACCCCATCCAAAAAGATTATATAAATGCCAGTATAGTAGAAGGTGTTTTCCAAACTGGGAATGGATACGCCCAATTGGACGAAATATGTGCTAGTGTAAATATGCCAAATATGTCTGAGCGTTATTACATCAAAATATCTAGTAAGTTAGGTGATATACACAGAGATGTCGCTCTGCAACACATGCTTGAAGCAGGCAAAGAAGAAAAACAATTAGCGATAGAGCAAGGTGATATCGACACAGATGGAATACCATATATAACCGTAATAACAGACGGATCTTGGGGTAAACGAAGTTACGGGACAAATTTCAATTCTTTGTCGGGAGTTGGTTGCATCATAGGGTTTAATACTAAAAAAATATTATTCATTGGGGTCAGGAACTCTTACTGTTGCATTTGTGCTGTAGCTGCAAAGCGGAAAACTGAAGTTCTTGCCCACAAATGTTATAAAAATTGGTTTGGTTCTTCAACTGAAATGGAAACTGATGCAATCGTAGAGGGGTTCAAAATTAGTGTTAGTATGCATGGACTAAAGTATTCGAAATTGATTGGCGATGGTGATAGCAGTGTGGGTAATGCTTTGAGAAATACAATGCCCTATGGACCAAATATCTATATAAGAAAAATAGAATGCTCCAATCACTTGATGAGGAATTACTCAAATAAATTGAGGAAAATTGTAAAAAATACTGAAAATAAGAATGGACCAGTACCTGTCACACTACGCAAAGCACTGAGTGACCGTATGCGACGCCTACATAAAGCAGTTACTGGAGCTATAGAACACTCTGCAAAGCTAAACTTACCATTAGAAGGAAAAATAAGGAGCTTGAAGGAGGACCTACTGAACGGTCCATGTCATGTTTTTGGTTTGCATAATTCGTGCAAGAATTATTTTTGTAAAAATGAAAATATAGTGGAGATGAATTTGGTTCCTCAACTGAAAGCGTGTGGCATATGGGCTGACATTTATGAGAATCTGGGATGGTTGACACAGAATGCAGAAAGTCTCCTCCTAAAAGAAACAAATAACCCTGCAGAACATTTTAATTCAATCATAGCAAAATTCCTTGCTGGGAAGCGAGTAAACTTTTCCCTTCGAGGAACTTATGAAAAAAGGTGCTACGCAGCAGTTTCCGAATACAACACTAAAGACTACAAGCTAATGCAAGAAATACAGAAAAATATTATGTGTGACGATAATATTAAAAATTCATATACCCAAAAATATGTGGCAAAAAAACAAAAAATAATTAAAAATAAAAGAAAACGGAGGATTGAAGATGCACTACGGGGGATAAAGCGAGCAAAGCGGTCAAAGCCGGCAGACCATCATTACGGCAACGTAACAAGTGAGCCTGATTTGCCGATGGACGTATTTATAACAAAAAAAGCTGAATTCCTTGAATCACTGCAAAAGACACATTCGGAAATATTATCCTTAGAAAGAGATACTGTTGACCAATCTAACTCTGATATATGGATTGTGGAACGCAGAAAAAGAATAACTGCTTCAATTATTGGTCAAATTTGTAAAATGAAGCCTACGACCCCATGCACGTCCATAATCAAAATAATGCTGTATTCGACATTTACTGGGAATGATTCTACAAGATATGGAAAATCAAATGAAATAACAGCCCTTAAAGAATTTGCAAATGAGCTCAACATCTCTATCACTCCATGTGGGTTATTTGTTGATGATGACTACTGTTTTCTTGGTGCAAGTCCAGATGGTTTGATTGGAGACGACGGAATTGTCGAAATAAAATGTCCATCTTCGGCTTCTGCGTTGACGCCATTAGAAGCTATAAAAAGTAAAAAAGTTGTGTTCTGTACAGAAGATGGAGATGGTATCAAATTGAAAAGAAACCATAATTATTATTACCAGGTCCAAGCCCAATTGAAAATTGCAAAGAAGAGTTTTTGTTACTTTGTTCTTTGGACGCCAAAGGGATTCTTGTATGAAAAGATATACAAAGATCCAACCTTTTGGTCAGATGACAAAATATTGAAAATGACGCAGTTTTACTTCAAATGTGTTCTGCCAGAAATTATTGACCCACGTTTTCCACGCAAACTGCCAATGAGAGATAGATTCAATGATTGTTATTAGATAATAATACGTTTTTTTAACTAAATTTTCAATCACGTCTGACAGTAAACTCTTTGTGCTCGGAAATCGGAATCTTCTCGACAACCGGGTTGTTACACTTTATGAACAATACATAATTGTTCATAAAGTGTAACAAAGTTCATTAGAATAAAAATATATATTTATACCAAACTCTATTTAGACTACTTTATTTGTGATCAACCGCCTGTACTACGGTACAAATTAATACCTACACAAACATACATTTGGAGACATTTACATACGGTACAAGTAGGTACGTTACCTAATTTCAGCTTCCTAAATACAAACAGCCTAGACAGGTAGACAAATCAAGGTATAAAGACCAGTTTATGCGGTACTCTTATTGTACGGGAAATTGAAATAAAGCGAGGCCATGTTATACTGGAAAATTATAGCCTGATGTGTCACCGATTCTACTTACAGCGAGTTGGCCGACTCTGAGTGGCAGTTTTTTTTTTAATTTGAGACATTATTTTTTACATGGAAATTATTTATAACATAAATAATTTCCATGTGAAAAATAGCGCACGTACGATACCTAGCTTGGTAAAAAAACAACACACACATATCTCCGAGACCAAGCGGTACGTCCGTACTAGACAAAGAGTAATATAATAAAATAATACGGTACCTACTAAATGTAGGCATGCAGAGAAATTTACAAAACTATAGCTATGCGCCATAGTAGCGAGGCCGTAAGTTACCGAATGCCAACCGAACGCTCAGGCGCCGTCTCTCTCTTTTCGCTTTGCCTCTTTTTCTAACATTGCGCTGGATGAAACAACAAGCTTTTTAACCATGCTCGCGTTGACGTTAGACGGGCCGGGAAGGGCCCTCTTAAGCGATCTTAAAGGATGTCGGGGCGTCCGAAAATTGCGATTGGCAACTGGTCGCAATTTTGGCTACTTTGAACAAGGGTAAAACAAGGGCGATTTCTGGCTATATTATTCTCGCCCTTTTTAGACTTACTTAGTCTCTTAGGACATAAAAATACGTGTAATGAAACATATGTTTTTGACCCAGAGAAATATCAAAGAAGACTCGATTTTAAGGTATCAATGACCTTAGAAAAAAGGAAAGTACTTTTATATAAGGGGTGTAAATATGTAGATTTGAGGTGGAGGGAGGGAAGGGAGAGCAGTGGAGAATGCATAGTTCTTTTTTTATGATTTTGTGAAATCTGAGTTTGAAGTTATAATGAGGTTCATAATATTTTTGATATTATAATCCTGATTTATGGGGGAGAGAGTTGGGAGGAGGGATAGCCAGCCCCCTATGCCACTCAACGTGCCGCAGTCGACGGAGCCCCGCGAAGCGGTGTATACTTCTTATTTGCAAAATAAAAACGCATTATTAAAACTCCCTAAAATGGCAACACCTGCTATCAAAATTACGTCAAAAACAATAAAATAGTACGAAATTCAAGGTTAATTTAACAAAGTTCGATATTTTTTTTATTTCAGAAAGTATTTATTTCCTAAGCCTGATACTTCATGAGGTTGATCAAGATAATAAGTATTGTATATGAATTTAAATTATATACACATATAAGCCGAAAAGGTATATATGTTTATATAATTCGTTAATCTCTTTAACTGTTATTTGTAAGTAAAATATTTCATTTCAGTTTTGTTAAATATTAATAATGATAAACAGATAAAACATATATTTTATATGTTGATCTTTTCTTTCACGTTTACGATAAACTGCTTCAAATTTTGTCTTGTTAAAATTATAAATCAGGTTGGTTAAGGTCTACATTTAAAAATAGCCATTAAAGGCTACCTGACAATTCATCAGGCGATTTTAGGCTACGTTACAGAGAAAACAAATTAGGCTAGCTTAGCCTAAATGACGACAAATTTTTGGCGACTCGGGCCCATCTAGACTTGGCAACACTGAGTAATTGTATTCTGTGGCTATTTGGCCTAAAGGTCTAGATGCCAGGCCATAAACTCCAAAAAAAAAAATTCTGTGGCTATTAAAACCTGAAACGTTCATAAATTTGCAATTTCCATTTCAATTTGAAAGCGTCTTTTTGAGGTGATGTTTTGCTAGGAAAATAGGAATTATTTTTTAATTCAACTACCTTAACCTAGATATTATTTTATATTTTAAAATTTAAATTAAATACATGCAATGTTTATGCATGGTCGCGCATTATTGGCGTAAAATATTCTATTGTGTATTGTGTATTATTTAAAAATTCAACAATGAGTAATACCGATATAAATCAGTTGGATAACGTAACTGCCAAACAAACATTGGATAAAAAACAAATTGAGGCAGAAGAAAAGGAAATGATGCTTAAAGCCGGCGATTCTGAAGATAAGAATGAAAGCGAAGGACCGGTTAAATCAGCTTTAGCTGGAGAAGTAACTGAACAAGGCAGGGAGGTCAAGCCAAAATTTATTCCCATAGGAGCGATAAAAATGCCAGGATTTTTTACACGGAACTCTGATAAGGACAAACGGGTAAGTCTGTTTCATCAAATAATTTATGATTATTCGTAATGTTTTAAAATAAAGATTACCAGGTTAGATTACATTATGATATACCGATACCAATGATACAAAATTTGGGTTTGGTTTTACTTTTCGACACCTTCCTGGAGCTAGGGGGTGGGGTGAGGTGGTAAATTACCCCCTATGCCCCTCCCGCGCGACAATGTAAAGTTTTTAAGTAATGATTTTCTTGTATAAGCATAAGTTCACTTATTGTGACTTAAAAAGGATATAATCTCTGCAAACTACATTTTACACTGTTATCTGCCACCTGAATAACTGAAATCTTTCACAATCTATATGATAGAAACTATGAAAAATATGAATGCAGTTAAAAAGTTTGACTTTGAACAAGTATTACTTGGGTTTCAATTAGTATATTTTGTAATTTGTATTGAGGTATTCTTAGTATAATATAAGCAATAGTAGGCTAAGGTTTATTCAATCAAATCAAATCAAAATGTTTATTTCTATAACAATTACAGTTGTTTTATTACAATTAAAGGTTGGGGCCAAACCTTTTGATGTATACTTGTACTAGGAGCCCCTCTGTCCTTCTAAAATTGAAAAAAAAAGAAAAGAAAAAAATCTTAATAGTGTTAGTTGTCTCTCTTTATGTGTGTGTTTGTGTGAGTGTGTGTGCACATGCGTGTGTGTGTGTGTGTTTTAATTCAGTTAATTTCTTGAAGCTGTTACTTATGTATCATGCCTTATTACATCACATCACATGTAATAAATAAGGCATGATCCACACAGTTGGCAATCCAAATATCTTTTATTTATTTATACATTATATTGTATAAAATATTTATTTTATTAGAAAACTGATGAGGGTAGATCTACTTAAGTTGGGATCATTCTATGTGTAAAGTTATTGTAATTAGAAGTATATGTCTAAGCACTTGTAAAGAAGGATTGTTCCACAATCTATAAAATGTCATAATATCACATTTGTGATATTTTATAATAATAATAACATTTATTGCCACACCCTAATAATAAGCTTACAATTAGCATACACATATTAAAATAAATAAAAAACAACCATATACAATTAACAAATTAACTACTATTATTATATAATGTGGGGCAACAGGAACAGGCCCAGTATTTGCTAAGTGTTATGCTGCATATAGTCAGAACTGGTTTTCAGTGTACAGCCTGCAGTTTTAAGTTGTATGCTCATACTAGGTACCTACTTATATATAAGTGATATAATGTATGTGTTAAATAAATGAAGACATTAAAATAACATCTTCATAGAATACTTATATGGATATCCGGCCTAAAATACTTTTGTTTTTAATATAAATTTTCTATTTTAAAATAATATTATGTTTTAGCAAATGAAATTGTTGTGATAATTACATTGTAAGGTAATGTTTATTACTTTGGTGATGTCTTTTTCTTGGATGATATATTTTCAACTCTTAGAAGTAGTGTTATTAGTGTTACTTAAAAACATTAAAATGCCAAAAACTGGGATTTTTGTTTATTAAGACTATTACAAATTACCTTTACGAATGTGTTCACACATTATTTGTTATTGTATTCTGTGACAAATTTTTAGGAGGATGAGGGTGGCATAGAAAAGGACATAGAGCATGAGAAGACTTTGGAAAAGACAGATGAAGATATAAACCCTAAACAACATCTAGGGTTCTTGCAGGCATTTACGAAGTTCTTGCAACCCAAAGAAAATGGTTAATATGATGTACCACTTTTATTTGCTTTGATTTTATTGATAGGTTTGGAGTGGTTAATATGATGTACCACTTTTATTTGCTTTGAGTTTATTGATAGGTTTGGAGTTTTTATTAGTTCTATATCTGACAAATGTTACTAGATTCTAGGTATTTTTCTTCTTTGACCCAGTCAAGGAATGTTGAATGAAATCATTACAGCTATTTTAAAGCCTTTGCCATAAGGTGGATTTTTATAAAATCAATTTCATGTACAAGCTTTTTTCATTTTATGTTATGCTGGCAACAAGCAATATAACTTATAACAACTGATCAAGATAGATGAAATGCTTCATCTTGAAAATATAAAATATATATGTAACAATATACTATAATAATATAAATATAATATAGTGTATTATATCAGTAGAAATATATTATGGTTTTACAGGCTTCTACTAGGCATCTACTATAACTTCATGTTCCTACTTCATTCTATATCTGCATCAACTGATGGTAGACAGGCAGAAAATACCTGACGTATTAAGTCCACCTGTATACCATGATGTGCATGTATATAAAATTTAAATAAATAAGCTTCTATTAAAATCTTCTTTAGAAGAGTTAGTGAGAGAGTTTATAAGTTTTCTTATATTTTAGATAAAGAAAACGACCAGAAAAAACATTTTGGAATTTTTAATGTCAAATATCCAAAAATGTTTCAAAAGCATAACATGAATCAGGAAGCTACATTAGCTTCTATGGAAACATTGGAAGATAAATTGGATACTCCTAATGATGGAATGGAAAATGTTAAATTGGATCTTGCTGTAAGTATTCTATAAAAAAAATATTATTGTATAATATACATATTATTGTCGATATTAAATATTTTGCTATGTAAACATTCTTAATTTTCAGGGGATGTATTTTTTTGTTTGTTAACTAAACATTAACTTAAATTTTAACGAAAATTTATCCAGAACAAAATATTCATTATTTTGCGAGTAGTTCATGCATGCAGCTTCGTTTCTGGATATTTTGAAAATTTGAAATTTTTAGGGGTTAACAAACTTTTTTTAACGTGCACATGGTACTTACTATTTTTACTTTGTGGGTTTTAAATATGTTATGGAAAAATTGTCTAATAAGTAACAAATAATAGCACTCATTGCAATCGCTCACAAATTCAAGTTGTAAATAAATTTCTGGAAAACAAGTCTCCTGTTAAAAAAAAGAAATGTGTTTGTCTTATTGTTTAATTTTGCTTAAAATGGTTGAACTGCCGTCTTATTACTATCATATGGCCAACAAGTATCCTTCCATTTGTAACTTTGTTTGATGTCAAATAAACTTAATTAGGTCTAAACAAGTAAAAAAAGCATAAAAAAGAACATTACTTTTACACATGGTGGACGGCACAATAGGCGTGTCATTTTTGTCTGTGGCGCTTGACACGCCCGGCATGTCATGAAATATTTGTTCGCCGCCACAGCTAAAAGTTGTCGAAAATTGGTGCTGCAACGAATCGGTTAAGAAACATTTTCTACATGTTTCTTAACCGATTCGTTTGGTGATATAAAATAACTAGAAATATATGGTTTTATAGACTTGTATAATTAGCATCAAATTCATATATTAGAGAAAATGATAGCAAATTTTGCATGCATAGCAACTTTTAAACTAAGTTTTGCATCATATGCTGTAAAAAGATTAAGAGACAGGCCTTACATGCGTTAAAACAGCTAATTAGTTTATTTTAGTTATTTCCATAGCATAATGTCATATGGATTGTGGCTATAGGGTAATGCAACTGATCTTTGTTTTTTTGCCAGTCGCATTACCTTTTTTAAGAACAATTTACACCCTTTGTTTGTAGAAGTCTCTTAGAGAAAAATTTAAAGAAATAAATATATCTATCAAAAAGCTTTAAATATTTATATGCAAAAATTGTTTACTTAATAAGGGTTATTATTCTAGTAAAAGTACATAATTGATAATATCCCCTGAGGATGAGTTTATTGTATAAAATACTATATTATATATTAATATTTGAAAAAAAGTCCCCCTGGATTTCCTGCTTGTTGTTCCCAGGACAGAAGATATATTCCAAACCAGTGGTAAAGCTTGAATGACTTTCAATAAGTGTTCTTGTAATAACATAACATAAACATAAACACTCACGCCTGTCACCCAGAGGGGTAGGCAGAGATTATGGACTTCCATTTGGCACGATCCTGAGACACCTCTCTCGCTTCCTCCACATCCATATACCTACGCGATTTGGCCCATTTTTAATATATCGCCAATTTGGTCGATAAACTTTCGCCTAGGGCGACCCTTCCCGACTATGCCGTTCACCTCTGCAACATAAATTTGCTTTGTCACTCTTTCCTCATTCATTCTTTCTACATGGCCAAACCACCGAAGCATTCCTTTCTTAATCCTGGTCACAACATCATCTTGCAAACCACACTCTTCTCTTATTAAACAATTTCTCACTCTGTCATTCAGCTTCATCCCTAACATATTCCTTAATGACCGCATTTCTACAGCATTTATTCTACTCTCATGCTTCTTCTGCCACACCCAACTTTCACTACCATACATTAAAGTAGGTACTAACACAGCATTGTGAATTGCCGTACGTGCCTTTTTGGACACATTCTGACTTTTCACAATAGAGTGTAGAGCCCCATTCACTTTATTTCCTGCATTCACTCGTTGTTTTATATCCTTATCATATCTACCATCCCTGCTAAAATGTTCTTGTAATCTATATTGAGTAAAAATTATCCTATTCAGGAAATCCCCCCCCCCCCCCAACGGTCGTCCTTTCTTCATGTATGTTTGTTGATAATTTTTTGAATTTAGAATGCACAGTATATTTACTTATATGTATATTTGAAACTGCAAATTGAACAGTGTGATATGTTGTGTACCTTGCACAACGGATCTGCAAAATGTTCAACTGTGTCCTAAATTATTAGTATCAGTGTTAGAAGCAAAAGCAACAAAAACGCATTTGTTTTAATTTTCTCAACAGTAGTAAGTGGTATTTATTTTATATGGTAAAAGGATGTGAAGAGTGGCAGATTGTTATAAGTGAGGGTGCTAAACAAGCGCATAAGCCACCGATGGTAAACGGATGCTGTGGTTCAATGGCACCTGTCTTATCCATGTCTAAGAATCAAAACACTGATGCATTGTCATCTTGAGCACTAAGTTGGAATGCCTTGTTTGAATGAGTTATCTAGTAAAAAGAGACTAATAAGTTTGTTTCTTGTATCAATGCTTTTATAATATGTATAACAAAAAAGATTTTGTAAAAGAGATGTGATAGTTAGTACTTACTAACTGACATTTTTCTTTCTTCAAATATTTATTTATTTATATATTAATATGGATATTTATAAAGTTTATAAGCATGTATTCACATTACATATATGTATGTATGTAAATATATGTTATATATAATATTTAAATATATATTTATTTATATACATGTTGTGTATGTATGTACTATGTATATATTATATTTTAATATAAATACACTTTATTTATGTATTATGCCTACAATTGTCTTTGGCACCCAGGGTTGACTGGCAGAGAATGCCATATGGCATTAAGTCCACCCTATGTACCCTTTACCTTAAGGTGTTACATTTAAGTTTTTAAATAAATAAAAAATAATAGTTCATGGAGTAATACTCGTCGTAAATCTCACAATGCAGAAAATCTACATGTATGATAGGAGGAATAAAATATATCAAGGTCACGCCAACAGACACTGGTGCAGCACAGGATACAAATTACTTCAAAACCCTATAAATGAGAGGAAACAACAGTAGACTTAATATAGATTGTAGCTTTACTTATGTTTTAGATAAAATCACTATGTATGTTTGTGGTTATTACATACACTTACACATTATATAATACAAACTGTAAGCTAGCTTATTCCCGCCATATGTTAGAAAGTTTGTTTTTTGTAGACCAAATATAAAGCAGCTATGTAACATTAAGATCTTAAAAATATATATTTTAATAATATTACAGTTAATACAAGAATTTTGTGACACTGGAAAGTTGTGTTTTTTAATTTATCGGGTGTTGTAAGCGCAGCGGCGATACATAAAGTAATTTATACCCTGCCTTTAATTAACTACATAGTATCACAAATACCTATTATCTGGCTTTTCTATTAAGCCAGTCTCGCCACACAAAGAGAAGTAAAGACAAGAGAGAACCCTGAACCACAAGAAAAAGTTTTAGTTTATCTTTGAAGTAATATAAAGAATGATCTTCAATTAAATGATATTTTATATTTACTCAAACACTACACATTCAATAAAACTAATTTTACTTATTTTTAACTCCTGATATTTCTTCCTTCTTTCGACCTCTTTTTTTTTGTTTGAAAGTGTCATTATCTCATTTTCATTTTTGTTTTAGGATCAAGAAGAAGGTAAAGTCGCAACAAGACTCCCACTCAAAGAAAGGATTAGGCAAAAGAAATTTATTATTGGTAAACACATTTTAAATTTTATTTTGAGATACATATGTCAAATTATTCTCATTCATTCTTTGTTTCTGTTTGTTGTCAGATGATATCATGGTGTTTGCTGTTGTGATACTGGTAATACTAGCAGTGATTGTGGGAGTTGTTGTGGGATCTTGGGCAGGACCACCTAATGTGCGCCCACTACGCCTTGGTCGCTATATAACAACAGTAACCACTTGTGGGCCAATAGAAGGGTAAGTTAAATTATGATAACTATATAATATATTTATATTAGTTATATAATTTACAGTGAGATTGCAATGTAAGAGATCAATCACTCAGTTTTGTCCTGTGGGTGTCATATGATGCAACTATGGCAAGTGCCGGAAATCTTTTGGCTTCCGATAGTTGTTAAAATCGGTTCAGAAGCCTTGGGATGAGGTGAAAATAAACTGCGCATTCTAGCAAGAGCCCTGACTGGACACTGTTGTTTTGAAAAGCACATGTCCATCCTGGGACTAAGCAACTCAAGGATGTGCCGGTTTTGTTCGTTAACGGCAGAAACGACTGCACATCCTAACTGACTGGTAGACTCTTAATACACAAACGTATCACTCATCTGGTAAACTATGTACTTCGCCCAGAAGAAGTGAAATTGGTCACAGCTAAGCAACTCCTATTCATTGAAGACATAGGGCTTAGCAATGAAATATAGCCATAGCAGCAATTACAATAGATCTTTTAGATCCCAGTGATACTGGTCTTTCTAAACCTGCATAGCTGCTCGCACAAAACAAAAACTCTACAGGTGGAGCTTATGCTATATAAAAGATTTAAAGTGTCATTGATGTCGAGACAGCTACAATAATTTATTTCGGTTATTTTCATTGCATGATGTCTTATGGGAAAATGCGGCTGATTTAGGAACTATTTTTGTTTTGTAGAAGAGCCATTTACAATGTAAAACCAATATACTCTTCCAAAAAACGGGTTACTATTACATTCTTTAATAATTTTAAGTACTCATATGTACTCAAAATTTTGTATATTAATAGCAAAGAACATTTTCGTCAGTTTTATCATAACATTTTGTTTAAATTAATGTGAAATAATATTCATACTTCAAAGCGCTAGTAGTTTACCTGCTCGCTAAGTAAATATGAAACACGTTTTCTTTTTTTTGTTTGATTTTTCTTTAATAAAGCAAAAGCAGATAAAAGTTTACTATGGAGTGTGAGCCCCTCGTGCTGAAATCAGAGCTTGCATCCGTGTGGGCATGCTAGACAGTATATCTCTTATGGTTTCTTGCAAAATATGTTTCCACTATGCGGTAATCACATGCTTTAGCTCTGTGATGGTCTGCGAAGCCGGTTGCACTGATCTGCAAACATGCTTTATGGGATTAGTGCGGGTTGTGTGTGAGGAATTAAAACTTCCATTGTATATTGGTGTCCAGTCAGTGTGCTGTTTTCTATGAAGACTAACTCAGTATGATGAAACAAATTCATTTCTGCTCAAAATATAACAGAGCCTATCATAAGGTGTGATTTTTTCTAACCGAAACGTTCTCTTCGTCTTCGTAGCACTCGCCGACGTCTGTCTTCACCGTACAGAAATATCCTGGCTACATCGGAGAACAATATCTTGAGTCTATGACACACAATTTCGAGTGAAGCTAAGCCTGGCAACTCGGTGCTCACGTAGTAGTTTAGGGCCGCGGACTGGGCGATGTCTGAGTATATTGGCAGCGAGGAGCCTCCTCCTGACCCTAATTTGCATATTTCTTCTTCCTCGATTGATACGAAGATTTGCGATTTCTCAACACTTGACTCGCCAGAAAACGATCATTCCGTGGTTCGGTACATGACTTTCTTCCAGAAAACTTTTCAGCGTTCTCTTGATAGCGCTGCCAGGTCCTTTGGACTGTCGAACAACTCACATTTAGCCTCTGAGCCACGAAGCATTGGCTGCAACCCTTCTCAAGCAGTGCAATAAATTTGCTGGCTTTTATCACTATAATCTATTTTCGTGACTGCTATACAACAGCAATAACAATACTTTAAAATGTTAAGGAAATAAGATAATTGAATAAAATGTTTATAATTTTACTTTGAAAAAAAAAATGTTTCGCTGAGTTTATTGATGGTTCCTCCCAGGACAGAGATTTTTGCTAAACCAGTAGTAAAAGTAAAAAAATTACTTTCAATGAGAATCACTTGTAATCTATATTAAATAAAAAAAATCTATTCTATTCTGTGCCTGATGGGCTGATGTGCGAGTCCAAGGTATTTAAAGAATCGAAAAGAAATAAATGTAATCGCTGCCACCCATAAGTACGTCCATCCCATCCTATGAACGTCCAGTGCTGGGTCTCTCCCACAGATGGCTTATAAAATAGTATCCCCTACTTTCTATAGTTGCCACGTTTAGCAGACAAGTTGGCAACGGCAGTTTTTTATTATTTTGAGTCTTTATCAGGAACATGGTAGAGCCATGCTGCTGCTATATTACTGGTATGTTTGCAGCACCAATGGGTCGACTCGACCGGGGAAGAACCACGCTCTCACAGAATACCAGCGTAAAATATCAGCTTAACGCTGCTGTGTTTCCTATAGTAAGTATAAAGTAGAGAACTGGAGACCCTTTTTACTGGAAACGAGGCATTACATCTTAGTCCTCAGGGGTTGCAACTAGGTCTTGCAAATATTCGAAAATGTATGGTATTCGAATATTCGACTTTTTTCGGGTATTATTCGCATTATTAGAATAAATTTAAAAAAAAAAACAAAAGTTGTTATAATAATCATGTTTTTAATAGCTAATTTCTTACTTAGAGTCTAATTCCTCTCAATCAAAACAAAATCTTAGTTAAAAATTAAAGAACTGTTTGGAATTTCACTGTTAAGGAACTAATGCAGTTCTGCAAAAAACTATAAAAAGCTGGTGCTTAACAAGACAACCACAACAGTCAATAGAGATCTGGGTATTGTAATAATAATTATATAATAATAAAAACAAATAGTCAACTACAAATACAACATGTTTAAAATCTTTTATGTTACTAGAAATAAAGTACATACTAAATTCTTAACATTATTGTCGGTACTTCGTACTGTCGCACATGGTGCACATAACAAACTTACATATTGCTTACTTACTGTTCGCGCCAAACACTTTCAAGGATTGACGCGAGAGGGCGCTCGGCGCGGTGCATTCATACCGGTTTGACTTTCGGTCGTGCGAAAAACGCCCAAGGGCAGTCAGTCGTCCTTAGGCAGTGCTCACGATTGGCACGCTGCCAATTAAGCGCGGGAACTCGGAATAATTAAGCGCGGACAGTAAAAATACGGTCTAGGAATTTTGTGGCGCGTATCCCTACTGGAGAGCTTCCCCGGGACTTATTGGGTCCGACTCAGAATCTGTATAAGTGCATTCGACAATATAAGTTAGTGCGGCCTCTGATATTCTAGAACGAACTGTGGCAACGCGAAACGGTAGTGACCTTTGACCCAGAAACTCCGTGCGTGTTTTGTGCGGTAACCTTATACCCAGCGATAGTTAGTGGCTTCTGTAAGTTAGTTAATCGTACGATAGAGTTAAGTGACTGTTATCGTGACGAACAAGGAAAGTGAATGTGGACAAAGCCTCGGAAGGCCCCCTCAAGTTGGAGCGGAATCGACGCCCGGGCTGCTGCCGACGGCTAAGGTCTAGGTTCAATCACCATCAGTCACACCCAGATACACACCATATCACCATTCTTTCCCTTGCACTACACAACCACATGCGACCTGACCGACTCCGGAGGGACCAGTCGCCTTGGATATAGGTAAGTAAGCTTCGTACAAATTCCTTCCGGTCGACTGGCCGTAGTATAACGCTCCCTCATATATTTTAGTGTAATTAGAGAGATTCCACGTGGCCACATTGGGGCCCGACCTACGTCTGCTCGGGAAGTCTTCAGCTCATGGGCCCCTGATGATTCGATCCTGTAAGGGAGCAGCCGTAGGCCGTAACAAATCTGGTAGCAGAGCGCGGTTCCGGGTTCGATTCCCGGTCGATCCCGACCATAGTGTTTGATAAACATTAAACAATTCTGGTGGCAGGGAGCGTTGGTTTGATTGGTTTAATTTGTATCTACAATCACGCCCGTCCGTAATACGTAAAAATATTTTTTTGTACGTAATAATAGAATTATTTCCCTTTGTTGTTTGTTGCTTGCCTTTTTTTTTTTTGGTTAGTAGGTAGTTTGAAAAGCCGCGCCCTAGGTTGCGCAAGCGGGAGTTTTTCTAGAGATATACGTCATGTAGGTAGACGGTGATTTTTACGTAATCGGTTAATTATCGTTGTCGGATAGTTGTAGTGGATTACTTATCGAAGGGTTGATTTCCGAGCTAGGCATTTTTTATTGATCGACCGTGATGTGTATCTTCGTTTATATTGTAATTTGTATTTGAACTAAAGAGTAGTAATTGTATTTGCGCAATTTGAATTTAACTTGATTTGATCGCACTAGTATTTGTTATTTGTTAATTTGATTTGTGTCTTTTCTTTTGTGCTAACTTGTATTTAGTTGATACGTAGTAATTCGTATTTGTGTAATTTCTATTCAACGCGATTTGATAGGAACTGCATTTATTAACTGTTAATTTTTGTTGTATTTTTTGTTTGTTATCTTTGTAATCTGTGCTCAAGCCGCGTCGTAATTTGCATTTTATAGTGATGACATCGCCCAAGCTACTGATCCGTTGTTTGCGGACTGAGCTACGCTGGGCCACAAGCGCCCATGCTTTGATAGGTCGACCGGATAGGGTCCATAACTTGATGAAGCGGTTCGAGCAGGTGGATGCTCGAAGGGCCGCAGTGGAGGAGGCTTACGCTGAGCTCGAGGATTCGGATGTGGAGAAGGGAGTCCTGGACTCCTGCTTCACGGACTATGAGCAGTTCTTGTGGCTCACGGACGAGTTGATCGAGGCTGAAGGCAGGTATGCCGGGGAGGCGCGTGAAGCTCGGATGAGTGACTTGTCCGAGTCCTCTCTGAAGCAGCTTCAGCCGGAGCCTCCGCCAAAGTTCTCCGGGGTCCTTTCCGAATGGCTGACCTTCGTTGGTCTTTTCGACAGCCTAGTGGACGCCCGGAGTGACTTGACCCCGAGCCAAAAGATGGTGTACCTCCTGGCCTCACTGGAGGGGGAGGCCCTGAGCGTCGTCGGCCACTTGAGATTGTCGGACGACGCTTACCAGACTGCTCGGGACCTCC